GGGTTTTAGCCACAACAACCTGGAGTTGAACACGCTCAAAACAGTGGAGATGACAGTGGATGACAGTGGACTTCAGGAAGAGCCCCCCCCCAGATTATACAGATCCATACAGGTCTCTATTTTTATTCTTATTTTTATCTTGTTTCCTAAAGAACATTCCTTTGTCTGCATTGTTTATTGCTTTTTTTTATACTGTTTATTTTGTTATACTATGCAACCTTATATTGGTATATTGTTTACTTACCCTTTCTATTGTCTTACAAGGATATGTACATACACATTGAGAGCTGCTGTACCAGAGTCAAATTCCTTGTGTCCAACACACCTGGCCAATAAAGCTGATTCTGATTCTGATCTTTTGAGAAGTACAAATGGAAGTTAAAAGTTTAATCTACAGTAGGTCAACCTCATCATCAGTGAGCCATGGGCGTCCATGACCCTGTCTCCAGTTCACCATTAGTCTTTTCCTAGACACTGTTGGTAGGTACTAACCACTGCAGACCAACAACACCCACCAAGACCTGCAGACTGGGAGATGCTCTGACCCAGTCATCTCTTGTCAAAGTCACTCAGATCCTTACACTTACCCATTTCTCCTGCTTCCAACACATCAACTTTGAGGACTGAATGTTCACTTACTGTCTAATATAGCCCACACACTGACAGGTGCCACTGTAACAGATAGTCAGTGTTATTCACTTCACCTGCCAGTGGTCAGAATGTTATGACTGATCGGTGTACTGCCAGTGTGCAATGACCTTAAGTAAAATCAAAGTTACAGTGCACTATTTTATAGAACAAGATCAATGTCATGCATCCACAACATTGCTGCTGTCAGTGGAATTTGAAAACGAGCATGTCTCACTTATTCTGGATGACTTTGATCTATTGTTGCTTGGACAAAAGCAACAAATAAATAAATGCAAATGTAGAGCATAAAAGGTCCACCTATTACACTCTCAATGGAAGTGATAGGGGACAAAATCCACAGTCCTTACTCTGTATAAAACTACTGTATATATCAAAGTGTATTTGAGGTTACCCTGAGGCTTCAGCAGACTCTGATCTTTTAATGTCCAGGATTAACAGAAACAAAAATGCTTTCAAGGTTTCACACAATGGCTTCCAAAACAAACAAACAAGATTAACAAATGCTCAAATGTGTATAAATAGTAGAGATGCAATTTTCTGAGCATAGTTCTTTTTGAAGTGTGTGTAGTGTATATTTACTGTGTTGGACACACTGTAGCCTAAAATACATGCTTTTCATGCATAGCCAATAATTTCCTCACTGTGTACTATTGATCAGAGATTTGGATGTAGATTTCTCTTCTTGAAGGTGCTTCCGTAACCTCCTCTGTGCGCTGCTTGTACACCAAGCGCTTCCGGTCAGAGATTTGGATGTAAATTTCTCTTCTTGAAGGTGCTTCTGTAACCTCCTCTGTGCGCTGCTTGTACACCAAGCGCTTCCAAGAGCAAGTGAACATGCTCCCAGTAGAGACACGAGGCAAGCCTTGCTCGAGAGACATGCAAGATGCTACGTGCTGTACATGCTACACTGTTGGTTTGTGCCACTGCGTGGACTGTCGTGCCTCTAAATCTGATCAGCACAGATTCGGACACCTCAGAGTGATCGGCCGGTCACCAGTCAAGGCCGATCACACTGAAAACCGACCATTTCCAATCTCCGCCATCTCTAATAACTAGGTAATAAATTAGCAAGGCAAAGTGTGCTTCTTGGATGTCCAAATCTATTTTGGCTCAGGAAAATGTAAGAATGTGCTTTCTTTGGATGCCAGGGGTTGCCTAGCAACACTAATATCAGTCTACCTGTCATTGGGTGTGTTTTCTATTTACCGAGTCATTCAATATTTTAACATTCAACATTTTTCACACTCTGTTGAAACAGAAAAATGTGTGTACTGTTTAATGGTGTAAACAAGTCCTATGTGTGTGGTGTCTGTCTTTGTAGGAATCAATAATAATCTCTAATCAATAATAGTTCTTACCTTCAGTGAAGTGAACAGAATAAAGGTCGTACTGTCACTCCAACAGTAGAAAAGACCATGAGCAAAAATGTTTGTCATTAGGGTCAAGAGTCAGGCCTTCTATAGGCTTTGTAACCAGCTATCTCAGCTTTTCAAACCACAGAACATTTGCCTGGTTTGTCTGTATCAGACAAAATTTTGAAATAAAACAAAAACCCTTCACTTGGAATGAAATTCTAAGATATGTCTTTGACATGGCAGCCAGCTGTTTTAGATCCTACAACATTTTTCAAACATGTTTGATTTTATTGCAGCCACAAACAAAATGAGCTTGTACTTGCTGCGCCTTGGAAATGAGTCTGAGACAGAAGAAGAGTGGTATCCAGTGGAAGCACAACAGGAAGCTGGAGCAGATAGGAGCGAGGCAGTGGGCACACACATATTTGTGCTTCTATCTTTGTAAGGACACTCATTGGCATAATGCACACCCTATCCCCTTACCTAACCTTAAAAATCTAAATTAAATGCTTAAACCTGTCCCTTCCTCTACGCCTAACCTAAACCTAATTCTACTTTAGCCCTAAAACCAGGTCTTAACCCTCAAAAAGCTGTTTCAGAAAGTGAGGATTGGCCAAAATGTCATGACTCTGTAGCAAGACATACTTTTTTGGTGCTCACTATGTAGCAAGTACAAGAACACACAAACACACACACACTGTGACTTTTCACAAAATAATTAAAATCATCTTGAAGGTAGGGTCGTTCCAGAAACATTTTTGTTACGCTTTTTTGAATTTCTCTTTTCATCCCAATGGCAATGGATACATTACATTCCTTGACAATATAAAGAAAAGTATCCGTCATCTGTAGCAGAAGCAGCAAACGCCTGACCAGTAATTTTTACTCATCTCAAGCAAAACCACTGCCTGCCTGTCTTGTGCGCACCCTGCCCTTGCACTCAATGCCTGAGCCAAGAGTCCCCCACAAGGCACTGCAGCTGCAGGCAGACGTGTTACTGCTCTGTTTTACAGCTAAAGCTAGCGAGCTGTGGGAGAGAAGGTCCCCACAGCAGTTTTCATTTTCAAGCAGAGACTGTTGTTACAGGCCAGGTCTCCCCCTTTAACACATATAGCCTTATAGGAAATATTGTTGTTGTTATCAGAAGTAGCGACCCGTGTGCACACTATGAGATCAAGAAGGCCGCCGCACAGAACAGACTCAGTTTACATGCAGCCAGACACTAGTCAGCTTTAAGTGTATAGATAGGACTGTAATGCAGTTAACTGGGCATCAAATGCCACATCTAGTGTTCATGTTACCAAGACGAAATAAAGCCTGTGTTTTGAATGGAGTTAGCTGGACTCCCTCTTCACTTCTCCCCACTAGAAAAGCCCAGACTTCTAAGGCTAGTTACTGGCCATGAGCCAGGGCTAAAGCAGTTTAGCCATGAACCAGAGGTCCCCAACTAAGGCCTGGGGCCGCTGCTCTGGGCGGTAACACCACATTCGAGAAAGTTACAACAAAATAAAGTTGGGTGCTGCATTAAGTAAAACCAGAATTGACATTGGTATGGCTTTTGAATGATGGCAACAACTGAGAGAACAAAAGGGGCTGAAAAGTGACATCATGCTGGCCGTATTTCTGCTGGACAGGTAATTATTGGTTTTGTTAGGTTTGGGGGGCATTTGTTATTTTCCTGAAGTCAGTAGCCATCAGGCAGCACACACATTGCACTGTGGATTGCATTTTGGAGGAGTGGCTGTGGAGAGAAGTCTGAAAGAAAGGGTGGGATTTCTTCAGTTGGCTACTTTTAAAATCGAGCTTCCTCTTGCTGGTTTTTCCATGATCACCATCCCTACCTTTAAAACTACTACACCTCATCTAAGATTAGTAGTCTTACAATATGAAAAATACAGCAGTTCTGGTATTTTGAAAATCCTGTGCGCTAGCTTTTAGAGTCTGTGTGATTTATTTCAAACATTTTCTAAACTCTCCCTCAGGGATACACATTTAGGCACAACATTGCCAAGTACAGTAAGTGAATCCAGCGACTGCAAATAGCACTGCCCACAGCAACTCAAACTTCAATAGTCAATCAACAAAAACAATCGCCTCCTGCAGTTTGAATGACATGTACTAATCTAGCTTTATTATATGAAGCAGTGTACCTGGAGCTGTCGCAGGATGTGTGCTCTGGGTTGGACCTGGTGTCGGTCGCAGTTCTGCTGGTAGGCCACCATTACCTCTGTCAAGGTCAGGCAGCTGTCAGCTAAAACAGAAGAATATGATCATTCACTGCCTTAATGTCCCTGCATCCCAGTGAGCCACCAGCAACCATTCAGAAGTGCTTAAGGGGCTTGGGAATGCCATACGGTATACTGTGCTGTGCTTTGAGTGTGTGTACTAGAGGGAAGATGACAGTTAGAGAGAAATGAAAAGGACGTAAGTGTCTGTCTATAAATCAACCAATTAGGCATCTCAATTTATCAACCACCATGTTATGGGATGGAAAATTCCAGATGTGTGAAAGTACAGGGGGATTTTTAGGTCTGAACCATGTAGATGCTTTGATCTTTGTGTATTTTTCAAAAACCGGATCAGATTTTATACAGTTTTAGTTCAAAACATTATTGGTATAATAAAAACAAAAACAAATAAAAACCCGGGGGTTTCGTCATAAAGCACAAGATTCATACTGTATGCACAAAAGGTGTACGCCAACAAATAAACAGATATTTAAAACTGTGAACACACACATGCAATTTTCCTTAAAAAATCATCTTGAAAATGTGCACACATGGATGAGCCTGACATCCTGTCCACCACACTCTCACAATAACTCCTAAATGGTTAATGAAAAACCATTATAAATAGTGATGCTCATACAGTATTGGCCCATTGGGAAGATGTCAGCAGACCAAGGTTTAAGAAGAAGTTGCATGTAAAGGACAATTTCCAAAACTGAAGAGCCCATGGCTGCTCATTTTGCTCGTTTCCAGCCATTTAATGTTTAATCTTGGGTACCTCTACATTAGCTTGGCACCACTCATAACTCCAAATAATTGTAATTATTGCAGAATGAAAAAACCAGAGAGCCTCTTCCTGGAAAGAAGAGGATAGTTTGTGAACATGCACAACCCTTGTTCCCGGTGTTGTGTTGAAATCTGTTTATTCTCTGAGATGCGTTTCCCCTAACCGTTTTAAATCTCTTTGTAGATGTGTTATGTCTCTTTCTGGTCATCTTGGATAGTTTTGCATCTCTCTTTGTAGTAATTTTGCCTCTCTTCATAGTCCTTTTGCTTTTCTTTGTGGTTTGTTTGTAATCTTTTTGCATCTCTTTTAAGTCTGATTGCATCTGTTTGTAGCATGGCCGGCCTAAGCCTTTATGGGCCCTAACCAATACTTTTGGGGGCCCTCCATGGTCTCCCCAATGCCAATACTATTAACTGCTGTCAATGCTTGATTATTTGCACATGAACTGTAAATCTAACACTCCTATTCTTAATGTTATTCATTTTAGCTGTTTGCTTACATCATATCAGGATCGGTTTGGCACATTTTACGCATGCATGGTTTTTAAAAGTTAGCAAACTCATAGGAGTGGTACTAAGTTGGATATTGAACATGGTGGACTGAAAAGTAACAAAATAAGCCAGCAGACAATGTATTTACTATGAACAAGTTAACCACTGTAATTGCTTTTGGTAAAAAAAAAAAAAAAAAAGCAAAAGTACAGAGCAATTTACTTTAACAGTTTCTACTGCCAGAGCAAAAAGGAGAGGACAGTGGAGAGAAGTTACACCTAATCATGGGAAGTATTCAACACTGGATGGATTATTTTTCTAATAAAAGAAGATCATGACAGAGTCTCCTGTTATTCTGAGCAGAAGAGATGTCTAAAAACATTGATACATTCAGAAATTTGGTTTAAAATCAAATAATCTTTGTGCATTTAAAACAGCATTGATCATCATGGAGACTGTAGAGTCCCTCAGTTTGTTAGAGCTCGGCTTTGAACCAGACTGACTTATGAAAGCCTGAAATAGAACAACAATATGACTGATCTATAAAAATAAGCATTTAATAGCCTACTTATCACATTAATATAGACTATCACTTTCTTTGTGCCTTGTTCCTTTGACAGTAGACATACAGTATGTTCACTGAAGCAATATTTACACATAGACGCATAATGAAAACTAATTAAAATTGCAATTGGTGAAATGCTAACAGTATTGTTTGTTAAAAATCTACCAATTCTCTGGTCTCCAGTTCTATATAGAATTTGATGCCTTTTTGGATTTCTATAACTGATTATAATCTCATCAGTTAATGTGGTTGTTTGCTTACTTGAGACATTTTGTTTGTAATCATTTAGGGCTGTTCTGAACTTTTGGGGCAACATTTTTCAAAAAATATCAGTCTGATGTTTCATAATAAGGAAACGTGCTTTTTGAAAAACAATGGAGGTTTATGGCACAGATGAATAAGCTAATCAAGGACTGAGTGGTTGACAGACAGTAACTGTGAGAAAAAGCAAATCATTGTTGGCTTTAGTTTCTGTATAGGGAGTGTTGAAAATATGTTTATAAAATGACTGGCCTTATCTTTTAATATTAGGGAAAATTGAGCAGACATTCCAAAATCTGCCATCTGACATATTTTGGCATTATCTGTGGTGCTTCACTGTGCTCTAGGTAGAACCTCCCCACAGCCTGCCTCTGAATATTTCAATAATAAATCACAGATGTAAATGTTAAGGTTTGAGTTGCCCTGCATTCATGGAATAATTATAGTTTACAACAAGCACACACAACTTCATTGGGCAGAATGTTTGTGATTAACATTTGACAGGATGTTAATTAAATTGTGTGGCAAGGATCATAATAAAGTCTAAATTCAATATACTACTTAGCCATCTGTGTCACCAATTTCGCCACTCCCGAAAATGCTTTTGTGGATGGAGCAGAGTTTCCATACAGGTACATAAATTTAAAAATAAATAAATAAAGTCTGCTTTTATAAATTCAAATGATACCCCCCAGCCCTCTAACTTATAAGAGGGTATAGGCCTAGCCTATTCACCCACACTGATGTGTCAAAGCTGCCATACGGTCATTCACGCACATTGCACACCTATGCTGATGGCCACTGGGAGCAACCTGGGATTTGGCTTCTTGCTCAAGGACAATTCAACATGTGAAATGGAGAATTTGAGGAATGCAAACCCTACAAATAGCGGATGACCCGCTCTACCTCCTGAGTCACATCTGTCCTGTCTGGTTCTCTCCAAAGTTTAGAAATATCAGACCAACACTTCTACAGCTCTAACGCAATTTAATAGCATCATCTATACACAAACAGAAACATAAAAATGACACGTTTTAGAGGAGGTGCCATTGCTCAACAGCAGTATTTCTTGACAAACTAAATATGCCTAACTATGCTGACTCATTCCTTTGATCACTACTCAATGCTCATTTATAATACTTTCGGCTTTTCCCGTCTAGGGGCCGCCACAGGTAATCGTCACACTGACGACTCGCATGTTGACATTTGGCACATGTTTCACGCTGGATGCCCTTCCTGACACAACCTGGATTTGAACCACAGTGAGAGCGCTGCGCCTTAACCACTTGCCTACCAGGGACGGCATCATTACTCAATGCTCATAAAATCTAATTTTGAAACCAGTATTACTTTTGACATTCATGTAAAACAGGCTGACATCCAGTAAAGATGAACTACATCCATCCATTACCTACACTGCTTATCCTGTAGGGGGTCTTGGGGGTGCTGAAGCCAATCCTGGCCTAAACAGAGCGAGAAGCAGGGTACAACCTGGACAGGTTGCCAGTCTATCACACTTCCATGCAGAATGGAGCGCTCATGACTCCTCCAGAAAGCCTCCTCACTAATTGGTCTTGGCTCCTCAAAGCAGGAATAAGATCTTGGGCCATCCTTCAAGATGGCAGAGAGAAACAACCTCTGGGTTGAGCAAGGAACAATCATATACAGAACTGGGTCGTACCCATAGTGACAGACAATGCTGCCCACCTACAGGCAATATAGAGTTGCCAATCCCAAAGGTCTTTGGACTGTGGAAGTATATCAGGGCATCCAGAGAAAACCTGGGCAGGCACAAGGAAAACATGCAGACTCCCCACAGAAAGGGCCCAGCCAGCCATGAGATTCAAACCTGGAACCTTCTTGCTGAGAAACAACAGCACTGACCACTGCACCACCATACTGCCCAATGACGAGCTCTGTATTTGAAATCTACCTCATTCTCTCAATTACAACTCCATATGTAATGGGCACACAGCAGTGAACACTAAACTGAGACTTTAGATACTTACTATATATGAAAACCTTTTTGTGTCATCACTGACATATGTGGACTAAATAAAACTGAATTGCATTTTTAGCAGAAAATAGTGTACAGTAAGCACACTACATTTTTCATTCTGATGTGGAATTTTTAAGGGTACTACCTCATGGATACATTTACACAGTCAGAATAGGGGACAGGGAATATAGGGTATTATATAGTAAACAGTGAGTGATTTTGGACATACGTAGCTATCATCACTGAGAATACTGTCATCAAAGTAGCATAGTAAAGGCTGTGAAATATTCACCATTGTTTTAGAAGCTAGCTTAAAGAGAGAAGTTGCTGATATGATATATGGAAATACAATCATTTTATAATTACAATATGTGGCATCTTTGTAAATCAATGTATAAGTGAAAATTTTGTTTCAGTTGAATTTAGTTCAAGATCTTAATGTTAATCACTAATTTTAATCACTAATTTTAATCACACTATTTATTTTCAACTTGATCAATCATAGTGAAACAGCAGCTTACGCCTTCTGTCGTTGTTCTTGTGCTCAGCAAAACCAGATACGATCTGTTCATCAGGTGGGAAAGACACATGTTTTCCACCTTCACCTCTCCTCATCTTGCTAGGTTTTTCTGCTCCATCATCCTGCTCATCATTTTCGTTGTCACTACAGTGGGTCATCACTCTGTTTAGGACTCCACCATGGAGCTCTCTGGATTTGAAAGCAAAGGGTCAGTCACTTCAAGCAGGAAACACTCAATGTGTCAACAAACACTATATATCCACCATGGAGCAACATTTCAGAAAGTAATCCTGATTTAAAGAGGGAGTAAAAAAATGTGTGAAACAGTTGATATAGAAACAATTGTTCCACCGACTCTCTTGGATGTGAAGCGCTGCTCTCTCCACTCTGTGGCACTTGGAAAGACAAGACACTAAAGAAACAATATCTTATTCATGAGTTGTGCACCAGGTTGCAAGTGAAACCCAATATGTTTGTGTCAAATGCCACATTTGAAATAGGTAGGGCTTGACACATTTACATACCTATTCAAATTCAACATTTACAGCAACATTCATGAGCATATATGCAATAAGATGGACAGGTATAAGAAAATAAAACTTGAACCACTTATTCCTGGTTCAAAATGAGGGAAAGGTGCTGCTTTTGCAATGCCCACCCATGTTTTATGCTCATTTATTCAGTGGAAAATAAATGAAAACATACTATCTCATATGTCAGAATGTCATAACTGCTATGCAGCAAAAACAGAGGTTTGAGGTGTGATATCCTATATTTAAAGCTGCATTAACTAACATTAGCCCAAATCATCCTGGACATACTGTACAGTCATTACATGGACACAAATATGACTGTGAATAAATGGTAATATTGATCTGGTCTACTACATGTGCAAATAGGAAAATGTTTGTTAAAAAAATTACTCACACAAATGTTATAAGGTTATAATTTGACAGATGTTGTGTTTTCAGGTTATCATGATTCCCCCAAGTGGCCAAAAAATAATAAATGCAGCAGAAGGGGATGCCAGTAGCAAGATAAACAATGGTTTAATTTTGTCTTTTTATTATGGCAGACTGCAGAGATCAGAAAAATACCAGATGCCTGATGCTTTTATTAGCTGTTGACACACCAAAGAAAAGAAACAGGCTATAATCATATTTATCAAAAACTCATGAAGCAAGGACAAGTCAACAGCAAATGATGCAAGCTATGCAAAATCTACATAAAGTGGACTCTGATGCACAGACAGGGTTAGGAGAGTTAGTTTTTGGATTACCTCAATACCAAGTATACAAATAAACTCACTAGAAATTGATTAAAAAATCAATAAAAAAGCTTTGAATTAAGTGTATTCTGTAAGACAACAGAACAATGTATCCTTACGAAAATGGGGAAATCAAGACTTTTAGTATCAAAAAATGTTTTGGTAGGTATGCTATTCACACTTCACACTCAAACATCTCCCTCTGTGGTTATGGTTGGGATAAGGTCTGATTCATATTAGGGGAAACAGATTTTGACACAAAAGCTGCAAGGTTAACTACAGTTTCACTTGCAATCAGAGTGTTGTGAGACTCGTGAAGTGTTGTAATGTGTGAGCATGTGCATGGTAGTGTATGGTTCTTTATTGTCCAGTGTTAGAATTGTAATCTGCTAATAATCCCCATTTTACTACATGTATCAATAATTTGATCATGTCTTTTTTCTGTGACTTTAATGGACTACAGCTACCTTTTTTGTCTACTCTGTTACTATGGCTATGAATCATCAGCAACTCTTCAAATCCAAAGGAGAAATAATTGAAATAGTTTCTTTTTTCAAGTATCTAATTGATTATTGCCTTTCTTTTAAAACCCCATGTTAACAACTTAGTAAAAAACTTAAACTAAAATGGGGATTTTATATTTAAAATAAACTTTGCTCTTTTTTTAATGTAGAGAAAAAAATGGGTATCTGCTACATTTTTGCCACTGATAGATTACTGTGATATTATTTATATGCGAACTTAACCTCAGTGTTTAAAATCTATAGACACGGTATATCCACAGTGTGTGAGATTTATTGTTGGGTGTCATTTTAGAACACATCATTCTAAGTTATATTCTTTGGTTGGATGCCCATCTCTTACTGTGCATAGATCGATTCACTGGCTGACAAGGCCATTTTAAAGTTATTGTTAACTTATTTGTGTATTTTTATGAACCTGGTTTGTGATTCCAGATGTGAATTAAGATCACAGAACTTCTTGTTATTCATTGTACCAAACGTTCAGACAAAATTTGGCAAACAGCGTTTAAATATGCTGATCCTTCTGCTTGGAATGAACAACAAAGACCACAAATGAGAGGGGAAACTGACTTTGGGTGAATTTAAAGAACTTATGGTTTCTAGGGAATCTTTTAGAGAGTGTTATTAAGGTATTGGTGTTTTAATTAGAATTTCATAAGTGAGTTATGTGTTGTGTGAAAGTGGTTTATATGTTTTGTAACTTTGTTGTTGCTGCTGTCTTGCCCAGTTCTATCTTGCAAATGAGATTTGGAATCTCAGAAAGATATTACCTAGTTAAATAAAGGAAAATGAAGTAGTGCAGTGTTATCAAACTCTGCGTGGATTTACATATGGTCCTTTAAGTTCTTTTGCAAGTAAAGGATTTGATTCGCAGTCACACTACTTCTCCAGAAAGCATAACTACTTCTCCGATCAGCATAACAATAGACTATCTGAAAAACAGTAAAGAAAAAACACTGCTGAGGATCATAGGAATGCCATTAGATGCAGATATTTGAACATAAATTAAAGTACTGGACAAGATTTTAATTCTGACCAAATGTCAAAGAATTCACAAAATTCATTACAGTTCATCCTGAGTGAGACTGTTGATTGAGCTAAGTGCAGCTTTAAGCAACATTTCTGCCTTAGGTTTTCACCTTTGATCCAGGTTACAAATGTATTAGTTATGCACCACTAAACGGCAACAAATTACGTTACTGCATTATAGTCTAAACTGCATCCTTAAAATTGACTCTGAGTTAAAAAAGAAACAAAAAACAACAACAAAAGAACTAATTACCTGTTTTTCTTATATTCTGCACTTTAATAAATGTAATATTTCTTAGTTAAATTACAACAAACTGATGAGTGATTACTCACGGCGTTATAACATCCATGCTTACCATTACACCCATAGTTCAAGCACACACACGCCACACAAGCGTCTGGGGTGTGTGCCCCAAGTCACGCGGCGAAATTTACCAATAGAATAGCACAGCGTTGTTACGCCACTTCCTGACCGGTAGTTTTGCGGGAAGTTCGGTAGTCCTTGAGTTTAACGTTTGTCTGCAGTTAACAATAAAGTGAAGGTGTGTATTCATGTTATAATTCAGTAAAATGTAAAGCGTCGTTTGCGTTCACAGTGTCGCAGATATTCAGGGGCGTTTGTTGTTAAACGTCGTCATGCTGCAGGTAACGTGAGATGTAGATGCTAACGAGATAGCAGTTAGCTTGATGGCTAATCAACACAAAAACGCAGTGTTTCTGATTCATCACCTAACGTAACGTTAGCATTTCCCGACTTACTACTGACCAACCACAAAGGCTTTTTTGTTTTAACAGCAAAAGGGTTATCTTTGGACTACGTATACTGATACTTGGTGTGTACCAAAACTACTATTGAACTTTAGCTTCACATACTTAACGACTTAGCTATTACAGAGGATGTGTTAGCTAACTTTGCTACTAACGAAATACACGAGTCAAACACGACAGCCATATAGCCGCAGTTAGCGTTAAAATCTCACCTTTAGCTATATTCGGTTACGTTAAAGATAGGTCACAAACGACATGTGAGGTCTCAGACTGTTTACAATGTGCAGTTTTGCTCTGTGTCAGTTCACTTTAAAACTTCCATAGCGTTAACAGCGACAGATGACGTGCGTTTCAGATGCCTCCTAAAGCCACGGCGCCAAGGAAGGGCAAAGCTCCAGCTAAGAGAAAACTGGCAGAGGAATTCCCACCTGGAGAAATACTGAAAGACACCGGGAAGAAGTCCTGGAAGCTAGGGACTCCAGTCGGCCAGGGCGGCTTTGGTCTCATATATCTGGGTAAGAATAGATGGGACACTGATAACCAAGTTCAGAAGTGAGACACGAAGTTCCAAAATACAGATGTTTTAACTGCCAGTACACAAAAATGAATAAAATCAATTTAGGATACATGTAAATTGACTGCATTACTATTTTAACATCGCTGAACTGTTCTGTAATAATATTTTGAGTGATTAGCAGTACACATTTTTAAAAATCTTTTAAAGAATCTATGTCCTTTTTCTGGTCTTTTGGGTTTTTGGGCAGCTTTGTTAAAGTACAAAAATAATAAGTCAACATTATAGCCGAGTTTGAGATTAGATAAAGGACTGTCCTACCACTGCAACTATGGTAGGACATTTTCAAATGAGTTGTATACAGAAATGAAGGCTGAGAATTTTTTTTTAATGCAACATTGTACTGTGTGAGATATAGCCTAACTTGCAATGTTTGACATTTCAGTGATTTTTTTTTTAAGTATTAGTACTTACATTACTTTTTTTTTTCTAGCTGATGAGAATTCAGCAAAACCAGTTGGTGCTGATGCTCAATATGTCATCAAAGTGGTAAGACTCTAAATAACTTCAAAACATGAACTTAATTTTTAATGACATGTATTTTTTTGCTGCATCTGTAAACTGCAAACATGATCTCATTTACATAAACATTTTTCTAATCGTAGCGTGAGTTGACAACAGATGCAAGGCCCCACAAGTGGTCAGATTGTCAGAATGTAATTGAACTACTGCTTTTATTTAATGTAATTCTATTCTGTTGTGCACTTGATCTGCTTCTATCTTTCTTCTATTACTTAATGACCATTTAACTTCATTCTGTTTTGCTGACTGCATAGATACTGGTGTTTCAATTTTTGGAAAAAAAATACGAATTATGATCACCTCTGTTTATTTGTTTATGTGATATGTGTTTATTAAACATCAAAATGGAGAGCAGTGGGTTGTAACAGTCATAAAATGCATTGTACCACTCTGGAAAGTTGCCACAGCAGCACCTGTTTTATCTTTGGCTGTGATGGTTTGAAGGTTAACAGCAGAAATACAGAATTTATGTAACAAAATAATTTACAAATAATGTACACTTGCAAGTATGTCACTGGCCAACACAACGCTTGCCAGATGCTGTCATATTGTACTGCAGAATAAGCTGATCCAGATCTAATCAGCTTTTACTTGTGGTGGCAGCTTATATGGGGTGCCACAGTTTTATAATTTTTTTTTTTTTTTAAAATAATGATTGTAATAATATAATAGGCTACCTCTGTGTAGCGCCAGTAAATGTTCAAGCAGTTCGTATACACCCATGTTGTATACAGCGTGCTGAACTCAGCAACAGCTGTGTTCTAATGTTAGCATAGCTAGTCTTACTAGCTCGCTAACAGCATAGTAGAAGTGCTGGATCTCCGTGACTGACAGCAGAGAGGAGGAGCTGTTCATAGATTGTTTGTTGTCGTGTGTGTGTGTGTGTGTGTGTGTGTGTGTGTGTGTGTGTGTGTGTGTGTGTAAGTGACAGAATAGAGCTGCACACAGAGGGACTGACTGAATACACACTCTCATGCATGGCACTACACTGAAACAAGATTGAACCTATTTTAAGTCGATATCTGGCGGTCAGTGTTGATATTGTGGCAGCCTGCCACAAATAAGTCGGCGTATGGGAAACACCGGAAGGAGGCAAGGGGGCAAGGGCTTCATCTGGGGCGGAATGGTGCATGGGGAAAAACGTGGACATGGCGGTGACAAATAAATTTCAATGTTAAGCATAGGAAATGTATCATGCTGTTTAACACAACACAACACATCCATGGATTCGCTGTGGCGACCCCTAAAAAAAACAGGAAAAGCCGAAAGTGACTTTACTTTATATACACACCCCAATTCCAGTGAATTTGGGACATTGAGTAAAGCATAAATAAAAACAGAATACAATGACTTGCAAATCTTTTTTGACCCATATTTAATTGAATAAACCACAAAGGCAAGATATTTAATGTTCAAACTGAAACTATTGTTTTTTGCAAATATTCACTTATTTTGAATTTGATGCCTGCAACGTGTTCCAAAAGAATGTGTT